TAATTGTCCTAACTGTCAGGACATTTCTCTTCAGTTCTATGTTGCTTCTCTCCTTAATTAGTTTCCACCCATTGCTTCTTGTCTTACCCTCAGGTGGTTTGGAGAATAGCTCTTGTTTGTGGCAGCCCCTAAGATATTGGAAGACTGCTATCATTTCTCCCCTAGTCCTTCTTTTCATTAAACTAGGCATACCCAGTTCCTGCAACCGTTATTTACCGGTATATGTTTTAGCCTCCATATTTTGCCCTCTTTCTCCTATTTTCTCCCTGACAACAACCCTGTGTAATAACATGATTAATTTGAAAAGGTGCTACCAGACTCCTGATTTTGGACTTGCATAGCTACTGTGCCTCTCCTCACTCAATGTCATTAGCTCAAAAACAGGGCCATGTAAGTTCCATATTTAAAGCCTCTCTGTATTCTACAGGTACCAACCTGGCGGAAGATATTTGTCAATGTCTCGAAGTAGAATATTTGATGATGTCTAAAGCCTCCAAATACTTGGATCTCACTCTGGAAAAACACCCTTTCTGTTTCTCATTCTGCAGCCGAATCAGCTTCAGTTCACAAGAAAAGAATGTGAGGAATAAGGAACTTTTTTCCTCCCAAAAAATGCACTTTGTAGAATTAGTTGCCCACTTCAAGATGGGCTTAGAGCATTGGTTTCTAACCCCCGCAGCAGTGCCTTTTCTACCTTCCCCCTCACTCCTTCAAACTTTGAATAAGATGTGAATAAGAAGAGAAGGGGCGCAAAGGAGAAAGGGGTGCCAGATGGCCCAGAGACAGAAAGGCCTTGATATTTGGGGTTATTCTTATCTCTTAATGAAGAAGCCTGTTCAGTCTCAAAAGCCTCTCCTAGATTTTAGAAGCTGTCCATACATAAAGGGAGTATGGTTTTGACTTATTGAGTTAAATTAAGGTAAAGGTAATGCAGATGCAATCTTAAAATAACAAATGTTGGGCCCAAAATAAAATTGTAAATGTGCACCTGTGGGAAGTTTTCTTTTTGGGTGGTGGTATTGGGAAGACTAGGTTTGAAAGAGATTTGTAAGGATAACACAGTTAGGTTTTCCTAATTGCAGTTCATTAGAGTGTCCCTATTTGGTGCAAATATTTTTGGTTAGCTTTTATTCCAGCTTTGGGATGATTCGTGAAAGGCCATCCAGATAGGTTTGGGTTCTCCATTCAAGTTCTCGAAGACCTAGAAAGAGAAAATAGCTTTTCCTCAATGCCTGCCTACTAGTCACTGAACAGGAAACAATTTATGTTTTCTTTATCTATTTAGCAAATGACATTTGCACGCATAAGAATATTGATAAAATCTTAATCATATCTTAACAGTTTGAAAACACGATATTTATAACTACGTATACTGACATAAAGCTATAAGGGAAAAACATCATAAAATATCTTTTTAAGATTCATTGATAAAAGCTGCTGGTAAAAATAATTCAGCTAAATTATATTTTTGTCATTCTGAATTGCAAAGCTACAGTTTAAAGTCCATTGCTTTAAATATAATTTAATAGTTCTTGCAGTTTGGATCTTGCCTTTTGAAAAAAATGAATTCTTCTAGTATGAAAATGAAAAAAAAAGATGACATCCAGCTATTGCCTTACAAAGGAAATCTGTTTTAATCAAGACTGTATTTTTACTGCTAGAGCAATTTTTTCACTAGAGAGGAAAAAAAACCCCATACCTTTTCAAATAAAGAGATGAGATTTTTCAAAATAATTTTCATAGGTATTCATTAATGCTATAGAGAAATGTGTACAGTATTATTGAGACCAGACAATATTGGAAGATATTGAGAAAAAAATAAGCATTTGCCATTGTTTGTTTTCTTGAAGCCAAATCCGGTGATTAGATATTGATTATCATGAGGATTTAAACATCTATCACTATCCTGTGTTTCATACTGGAAGGGGATTTGTGTTTTTATTTTATTTATTTTACTTGTTTGCTGCCCATCTCTCCACGATATTTTTTGTCATTTTATAAAAGCAAGGGATGTAAATATTTTGATTAGTGAATAGTAATGCTGTACAACCAATTTTTTTGTTGTTGTTGGATAGATTTTAAACATCCCAAAACAATGCAACCTAAAGGCACAGTGTTTGGCAGATTTTTATGAGTACAAAGAGATGTTTTTGTAACAACTGTATAAATAATGTGGGATAATTTATTGGGCATTTCCTTATAGTGTCCAAATTCAGATGTAGCATGAGAAAGTAACAAGGAAGAGATCGAAGAAAATAGACAGAGTAATGGTTGATCCGTGTATTTTATAATACGTAAACCAAAACATTCATTTTAGAGGGAGAAAGGCAGAGGTGGGTTCCTACTGGTTCGGACCGGTTCGGCCGAGTAGGTAGTAACTCAGCTGGACAGGCCCCCGAACTGGTTCTATCAGTGGTGCCATAGGCGCCGCCATCTTGGTTTTTTTACTATTGCGCATGCACGCATAGNCCTATGAAGCGGTATATAAGTCTACTGCTATTGCTATTGCTATTGCTATTGCTGGAGCCGCAGGCCACCAGGAGTACGTCCCGCCTGCAGCAGAGGAGCACCGATTCCTGCCCAGGCTGGAGCGAGAGCTGCGGAGGCAAAAGGCGAAGAGGGGTGGGGGTGGGGGTGTTCCAAGAGCCCCCCTCCCCTTTTTGAACTCCGCACTGGATTGTTGTTGGGGGCAATATGCTGACTCTCTGTAAACCGCTTAGAGAGGGCTTAAAGCCCTATGAAGCGGTATATAAGTCTATTGCTATTGCTATCACAAGTCCATTCCAGTTGTTGCAGGACGTACCCTTATTCTGTTCTGTTTGTTTTTATAGTTTGGCAATGATTTTTTTTCCCTCCAGTTTAGGAACTCGGTGTTTGAATCTTCTGGGATTCCAGCAGTTCATGGGAGACAATGAGATGACATCAGACCTCATAGATGAAGGGAAAGAGTTAATCAGAAGAGGTACAAGAGAGGCTTTGGGGGATCATTCTAATAAAAAAAAATGGGATTTTAAACATTACTCCTTTATTCCCATTTTTTAAAGAATTCTCTTCCTGGGGTATATCAAATATACTGATAAAGGAGCTTATTTGTAGTTTAGGATTGAAATTACGGATCTTTGGTGCCTTCTGAGTTGGCTGGTTTTTTTTTGCAGATTTTCTTTACTCAAACTAGGTCGCATCATCACTGCAATATGTTACCTAGTTTGGGTAATAAAACGTCTGCAAAAAAACAACAAATCTCACCTAGCACCATGGACCCCAGTATCAAATATGTATCTGGACTGTACTCTGTCTTCAAAAAAGGTCAACTGAATGCTCTCACAGAGCAGGACGTGATGAATAGATTCTTTTAGCTCTGTCAGTGTCACTTAATGATTTTTAATGACACTCAGCTTCCTTGATAGTTAATATCTTCAATAATTAACTCCACAACTAAGAAGCAGGCCTATTGTGTTTTGCACATAAGTAGGGAGGGCCCACCTCTTCTGAAAATTCTGTTTATAGATTCACCTTCCACGCGGCTCCATATTGACATTTGTGGCCAATGATACATAAAGATACATTATATACATGTTGTTTGGTAAATTTTTCAGTTTCTATGTATTTTTCAGGCAAAAATAGTTATCTCCATCCTTACATTGTTAAGAAATGCAGGCTCCTAATTCTGCTTTGTGCATCTTCAACTTAAATAAATAATTCTTCTAATGTACATGTGCAAAAGTTGCAGTAGAAAAATAGAGGCGAATAGTGGCTTAGCCTTAGCCTTAATTCTACTTGCATCGTGACTTTTTATCCAGTTTTAGATGGGATTTTGCCTTTGCAATCATTTGTTTCCCATGTTGAGAATTTTTCACTGAGCAAAAATCAAGGAATTTGGGCCCAATTCCCCTTGCTCCATGTTCTACATCAGGGGTGTCAAACTGGATTTCTTTGAGGGCCGGATCAGCATTGTAGTTCTCTGCGGGCCGGCGGGGAGTGGGGAAGAGACTGGATGGACACCTCCTGCAGCACCTTGCCAGCCAAAATGGAGCAAGGGTGGTGGTGGCCAGATCTAACCATTGCGAGCCTTGACTTTGACACCCCTGTTCTACATTATTGTTTACGTAAAGGGATAGAAAGACAGAAAATAGACAATTCTTTGGATTAGATTAGACAGTGTTTTGAATGTTCACAGTGGAAAATATTAGCGGTGTTTTGAATCTGTTCACTTCCAAAGCATGTCCAATTTATACTGTCTTGGCCCCGCTACACAGTTCCTCGCACTTTTTGCTGATCAGGAAACTTGAACATAGTCTTCCAAAGTGAAGCTACCTACCTGGCTCCTCCAACCATCATGCAGTTACAACAGAAAGGGGAAGGACTATACAATCATACATTTCTTCTGACCCCAAAGTTTATAATTCTTAATGGAAGAAAACTGATTTCACTGAAAATGTATATTAAGTTGTTGGTTGTTTTTTTTTTTACAAAAAATTGCTGTACATCCAAATGAAAACATTTTTCTCCCTAGAAAAGAGAAAACGGCAAAGGCAGGAAGATGGTGATAACAGGAGACGGGTATGTTCAACAGTTTAATATATTTCCTCTAAAATATATTAAAAGTTTAGTAATATTAACTTTGGAGAATATGGTCATTTCTGCAGCAGGCAATCCAATCCTAAATTGGCAAAAATAGGTGGCATATTACATTTTGCATAAAATATTGGTTTCTTTTTCTCAGCAGCATTATATTATAATCATTTGGTTATAATGGTTAGATTTCCTTGGTATTTTGTAACTAATCCTTTTTGGTACTAGATGTTGGTATTTTGAACATGGTTGCCTTTTTTTTTTTTATAAATTCCCCAAATACTGAAGCATCTTCAGTTTTCACAAGATTTCAGCTGTTTCCTGTGAGAAGACCAAACTCTTATACAATTCAGGCATTCTTAGCATGTGAGACCGTACAAGATTTCAGTCATTTAAAATTATTATTTTTTATTAATTAGTAGGTGGAGCATGGTTCACATCTTGGATGCAGTAGACTTAATGGGCGGTGTGGTGTTGAACCCTTCTTTGAGTGCTACATTCTTCCACTTTCTCATTCTTCATTTGCAAATGATGCGAAGTGAGACATTAAAATCACTGTGCTATACAATGTGCCTTTGTGTGTGTCTGTATTCACTCTGTGTATTTTTGGACAGGAGTGGAAAGAACGGTATGGAAACAATCGTGAACCTTCAACAAGAAACAGAAATATTCAAGCAGATCAAAAAGAGTCTAGTTTCACAGAGATCAATACAAACAGATGTAAGTATACCATTAACAATTTTATTTTGCTTTTTGTTTGGACTTAAGAAGTTTTTTTAAAAAAAAAATCAGAAATGTAATACTTGCTCTGGGGCAACTTGTATGTTTCTGTAGATCATGGGTAATATTTGACTACACTATTTCATTCATTTCCAAGGGGGTTGGTACAATTTCTAGTGAAATTGGTGACGTGAAACTAGAAGTAAATTGGAGTCATTGGGAAATAATTGATCAAATTTTGTTTTAGTAAAATTTGCTTCCTTATTCCCCTCTCTCTCTCACACACCCACCCCAG